AAAATTGGATGAGGTAATGCAAAGAAATTGTTTAGCACGGTGTCTGGAATATTGTTGCTATTTAATAAATTTAGACCATTTTAGTAATAATTATTCTTATTTTTTCTAAAACATCTTCTGCTTCTGAGAAAAATTGTCCTTTCTGCCTCTCTATGAAAAAACCACAAGTCTTTATGAAAACTTCCCATTTAAGCTTATTTTTCTCTAGTATGATGTGTAGCCCATTTTGGGCTAATTTGGGTTCTGAGTTGTGGTTCAGCCTCTTTTGACCACAGGTTGTGATAAAGTATGTCAACATTTTACTTTGACTTTCTTAGACTCTCCTAAGAGCTGTTGATCTGACTCTGTTTCCAGCCATCCATAGCGTAGGAGTGAAGAGCATGGACTTTGGAGCCAGCCTTCTTGGTCTGACTTGTAGTTCTGCTAGTCTCCAGCTGTGGAATCTTTAGTGAATTTCTTAATCTCTCTTTGCATCATTTGACTTTATGTAAAAATCAGATAATAGTACCTACCTCACAATTTTACAGAAGATTTATTGATGTGGTATATGGAAAATACTTCTAATAGTGCCTGATACATGGTACATTCTATATCATGGTTTTCTACTTGTTTGATTTTTGTTATTCACTATCTGAGCTGAATAGAGACCTTCTAGTTCTGACTTCTTTGAAATGGTGAACTCCAGGCTGAAAGCCTCTTTTTTTTTGGACGGAAGATCCAGAGAGTGGAGAATACATACCTCCTTAGACAACATAGTTCCTGAAACAGAGCAAGATCTCCAAACAAACTAATGGTCAAATCTTCTTTGCCAAATGATATAATTAATTATATTGATAACTTTTAAGAGAAAAAAATTTCTGTTATTGTTGAGGATTCCCCATTTCATTTAGATTTTTTTAAATAATATTACCTACTGTAAAATAATATGGGAGCTCTGGTATTGTAGTGCCTAAGGCACTTGACTGCTAACCAGAAGGCTAGTGGTTCAAACCACCAGCCACTCCTTGGAAGGAAGGTTGGGGAATCTACGTCAGTAGTGATACTGCCTCAGAAACCCAAGAAGGGGTTGCTATGAGTCTGGTCCGACTCAACGGCACAACAACGACAATAACAAGAACTGTAAAATAATGTCTCAATGTTCATTGATTTTATATAATTATATAACTAAAACAAATTGCAAATTGGATGACACAAAATGATCAATATAATTTGTGTTTTAATTTTAAATAATTTTTGTGGGTGGTTAAGAGTAGAAAGTCATACCTCAGTTCTTGTTTTGAATTTAATGTTACTTTATAGTTTTATTTAAATGCCAAGGGTGATCTGAAAGATAAGGGGACAAGTGGAAGGGTAGTGAAATGTGAAGAAACTGTTATTGAAGGCTAGAAATATGGAAATACATATCATGGAGAAATAGTTGAGAAAAATTTTGTCAGTGATAACTTGGGAAGCATATCACATTACTAATGGATTTATAGCTCTAGAAGATATTGGTTACTTTTGGAAGAGTTCTGTAAGAAAGAGTTGAACTCATAAAGAACTGTATAATTTGTAAGTAGATCTGAAAAGGCATAGCAATAATGAATAAATTCTGAGACCTGATAGACTTGGAAGAGACAATTGCTTTTTAGCATCAAAATAAAACAGAAAATCTTGGAGAATCAAAGATCAATTAATACTTATATTTATGAGAAAATAAAATTATAAGTATACCAATTATTAAAATCTCTAAATATATAAAGGTGTCATAGAATAAAAACTCTGCATGGTGTCTGATAAATTCCTAGTACAGAGTAAATGGCTCAAAGAAAAGAGAGTAAGCATGGATTTTCTGACCAAGCCTTCATGTGATACAGATTACATAAAGACAGAGATATGAGGATGAGAGAAAACAAAAGAAACATAGCAGTTCTGGAGGCCACTGTAGTCATGGTTACAGGCACATGGTAAATAGGAAGTAGGTCACTGAGTTTTGGAAGATTTATGGACTAGGAGAACCTTTGGCTATTATTTTCATCTTAAAATAATCTGTTACACCTCAACATTATCTGGGCAGGTAGTGGTCTGAGAATTCTCAGCAACCAACTAGGTGGCATTCCCTGATTCCTACTGCAGATTTGGTCAAAGAGAATGATGGAAAAGGAACAAGAGGCTAAGGCTGTGTGAAACAATGGGCAAGGGGGCTTCTCCCAGCAGACAAAATTAGCGCCTGGTCAAAGAACATTCCCATCCCAAGGGTAGAGGGCCTCAGCCTGTCCATCTAGTGGGATTTGAGATGCATACCTTGTTATATGCTACATTTGCAAATAACTTCACACTGATCGGGATCTGCTGTGTGTCTTCCATTCTTCCCTTTTCAGAATGAGAGTGTCCCCTACCGTTATCTTATAATTTCTACCTCCTAGTGAGAGGCAGATAACTTGTCTTTATAGTTTAATATTTTCTGTGTCTAGAAAAGCCACATCCAGACTGATGTAGAAATTGCCAGGCCTCACTCACATACCCTGGGTTGAGTCAATACTGTCTTGTTTTTATGTCCAAACACACTTTGGAGTTCTTGTCATTGAGTCCTGGGGCCAGCTAGAGTCTGGATATGTGCTAGAGGCTGTTATCCCACCAGCATTTGAATTTATCCACTTGTTATCTAAGAAAACAAAAATCTACATACAGCATACTGAAAATTGGTCTAGAGATAAAACATCACCTTTGTGGTATGTGGAAGGAGCTTTGGAGGTGTGGTTAAAACATTCTACTACTAACCAAAATATTGGCAGTTTGAACCCAGCAGCTGCTCCATGGGGAAAAGATGAGGCAGTCTGCTTCTATAAAGATTTACAATCTTGGGAACAATGTGTGGCAGTTCTACTCTGTCCTAGAGGGTCAATATGAGTCAGAATTGACTAAGTGGCAATGGGTTTGGTATATGGCATACTCACAAGCCCTGCTCCCATGATCACAGTGGATATAGCAAATCAATTATGGTCCCCCCCAAATCTAGTGATGGCTAGTCTGATCTCTTTCAGAGTTGTATCCTTAGGGAGTCAGGACCAATGATCAGAATTGTATGGAATGTGAGATTCACTGGACATCCATACGCTTAAAGAATATAATCTTGAACATGTCCATTTTAGGTAACTGTGCTACTTTCAGGTAACTAAAGTCAGCAGCAACCTCAGGAGTAGGCAGAGTGTGCAGCCCTTGACTCTCAATCATACATCCTTTTCTGAAATTTCATGGTTAGAGCTTCATTTATTTGAGGGAAGAACTTGACTCAAGTAAAATATAATTGCCCATGAGAAACAGATTGGAGGAAAGAAACAGTAATATGTCCTTTTTCATTAATATCCTAGTGATAGCATACTCAATATGATGTGGTTGTTGTTGTCATTGTTAGGTGCTGTTGAGTCAGTTCTGATTCATGGTGACCCTGTGCCTAGCAGAGTGAAAACTGCCTGGTACTGCACGATTAACATGATAACATGGGATAAAATATTCTTACATTTATCTGAATGAAAGATCAGTGGAGAAAACATTAGAAACTGAGCCATATTTAGAGACATGTATATGGAATAGCTCTGGTAGCATAGTGGCTAAGGCACTTGACTGCTCACCAGAAGGCTGGCGGTTCAAACCCACTAGCCACTCCTCGGAAGGAAGGTTGGGCAATCCTACTTCCGTAGTGATACTGCCTCGGAAACCCAAGGAGGGGTCGCTATGAGTCGGGGCCGACTCGACGGCAAAACAACAACAACAACAACAACATATGGAATAGAAGGCAAAAGAAGACTCAAATATGAGAGATATTTGAGGGACAAACTAAAGAGAACAAATACTGAGACATAGTATAGAGTTTATTTTCCATTGCACGTAAACCTAAAACTGATTCACTATCAGTAGCATACCAAGTTGACACATTATATTAAAAAAAAGTATGCCCATGGGAGCAAGAACATTACGCTTCTTTGATAAAATGCTGAGAAAGGGAACATGATTCCAATCTGTTGGATGAAGCCCTTCCCAAACTAATGTTGATGGTGGTATACACACACATATACACACATATACACACACACCATTTATAAAGAATTTCCATAGATTCAGATAAAATGCATTTATAGAAGCATGTACTCACCTGCAGAGATCTGTGACAGACATAAATAAATATTTTCTGCCAAATACTCTTGTTGAATGTATATGAATTCCATCAGGGATGATGAAGAGATTGGAGGACTTTCCAGTGAAGTTTGGCAGAAATAGAAGGATTGTTACTTGTTTTCCTTGAAAGGTGGAATATGATAGAGTAGAGCTAAAAGCAGGCAGGAACTCATCCAATCAGCTAATGGTGGATACTACTAGTGAAGAGGTAGAAAATGTCAGGGAAAAGCTCTACCATAGCCAATGAATATTTTCTCATACTGCATGAAGCACTTTTACTAACATTCCTTTCATCAAAATTGATCAAAACCACCAATAACTTGTAATCAAAGATTAAAGTCTCTGCAGAATTTTCCCAAGATTTAGCATGAAACCCACATCACTGGGGTTTTATCCTATCTATAAGCTTCCTCCATGATATTTCCAATCGCCTGGTATGCATGTGAGAGCTGGACAATGAATAAGGAAGACCGAAGAAGAGTTGATGCTTTTGAGTTGTGGTGCTGGCGGAGAATGCTGAAAGTACCATGGACTGCTAAAAGAACTAACAGATCTGTCCTGGAGAAAGTACAGCCAGAATGCTCCTTGGAAGCAAGAATGGCCAGACTTCGTCTCACCTATTTTGGTCATGTTGTAAGAAGAGACCATTCCCTGGAGAAGGATGTCATGCTTGGTAGGGTGGAGGGTCGACGAAAGAGGGGGAGGCCTTCAACGAGATGGATTGATACGGTAGCTGTGATGATGGGATCAAGTATAGCGGGGATTGTGGGGCTGGCACGGGATCGGGCGGTGTTTCGTTCTGCTGTGCATGGGGTCGCTATGAGTCGGAAATGACTCGACGGCACTTAACAACATAAGCTTCCTCAAACCTTGTTTCATGTCTTTGTTTCTCAGACTGTAGATGAAAGGATTCAACATGGAGGTTAATATGGTATAGATGACTGTTGACAGTATAGCTGGTGAGAGGTTGGAAATAGACATAAGTAATACTCCCATAAAAAAAGGTCACCACAGTGAGATGAGAACCACAGGTAGAGAAGGCCTTGTACTTTCCAGCAGCTTAAGAACTGTGATGAGTCTCAGATAAGATGATGATGCATGAAAGAGGGTCATTACGATGAATAGTCCTTCTGTCTTTATCAGTATTTCATTGAGAAATGTAGATGAACAAGATAACTTCAGCACTGGGTTGACATCACAGAAGAAGTGATGGATAATATTGGAAGCACAGAAGAACAGTTTATTAATCAGGTGGACACGAAGGAGTGAGTGGAGGAATGGGATGCAGAGAGAGATGGCCAACAGCAGGAAACAGCGTTTATAGCTCATTATGGTGATGTAATGAAAGGGGCTGCATATAGCCACATAGCGGTCAATGGCCATGGAGCCTAGGAGGCAACTATCTACATTAATAAAGGATACGAAGAAATACATCTGGGTGAGGGGCACTCACCATACAGAATGGTCTTTGTTTCTGATAAGAAATTTATCAGCATTTTTGGAGTACTTACTGTTGTGTAGCAAATGTCAGCAAAGGACAGGATGCTCAAAAGAAATACATGGGGGTCTTTAGGAGAGTATTTGAATGGATGGTCAAGACAATGAGAAGATTTCCCATCACAGTGATGAAGTAGATAGTTAGAAAGAGAACAAAGAGAGGCTTCTGGTCCTTAGGCCTAGAGGATAGCCCCAGGAGGATGAATTCAGAGGGTGTTGTTAGGTTGTTACATCCCATTGTTTTGATTTTGCCTAAAGATAAACAAGACTCTACTATCACTTGACACACGCATTCTCCAAACATTTTCCAACCTATTCTCACACTGAGGTATTATAATTATATTTATCTACACTTGCTGTCCTTCAGTAATGTGGAGAATTAAGTGTGAAATGTACTTTTCCATCTCCTTTTTATGTCTGGGTTCCCAAGAGATAGTGGGAAAAATAGATCATAGAATGAGGGTGGAAGATGTGAGAGGGAGGGAGAGAGAGAGCTATGGAGATAGAATCTTCCCGTTTTGCCTCCTTGCTTTCTGTCTGATTATCATATTCTGACTGACAGACTTCAGGGTAATACCACCCTGATACAGATTAGATGTGGAGAAAAGTTTCCTTTTGTGTAGAAATTTCAGTTGTTAACCTTGCCTAGATAATTAGTTACCATCGTTTGAATTATCCTGTCCTTGAATTCAGTTACTTCTTCACTCATCAGTTATCCTGATATCTGAGCACTGAATTCTGATATTACGATAGAGTCATTTCTTTCCCTTCACTGTGATAAATGTATCCTCTGGCCCCTGTAAGTTATTATTCTGGAAAGTCAGAAAATATGCAGAGACACAGATCCAATGTGTCATAGAAAGAATCATTTTAAAAAAAAAAATGTGAACACGTTCATTCAAGGCCCACAACTTGTGGGTTCTAACATTATTTTATGTGTATATGTGCTAGTATGTTTATTTGTAAGTATGAATCTGTCCCTGTAACCATCTCAACCATACACACACACACACACACACACACACACACACTTGCCCAGAATTTACCTGATCTTTAAAAGGCACTCAACTCTTGAGCCTGATTGACCCCCTCTCAGCTACTGCAGGGCTCTCCCCATCTGAGGGAACTGTAGTGGTTGGCGTGCAACACACCCTCTTCAAAGGGGCGTCCTGTGCTTTTGTTTCCAACTCTCTGGAGATCAGTTGAGGAGTCCTGCAGAAAACAAGCAGCCAATCTCTTCATTTAAGAAAGTTATTGCCCTATGAAACCAAGAGCATATTTCACTCCTTTTCCTCTCCATATTTCCTAAGAGCCTGTGTAGTGCCTAGACTTTGCTGGTTCAGCTGACAAAGATGAACAATGAGTACACCTGCTGAAAGAACCATTGAAGGGCACGATTCTGGGCAGGAATGCAGTAAACCAAAGTCAGATTTATCTCAGACACATATAAGCACAGTGTAACCTCTCCTGATTACTCAGGTTTTCTTTCCCCCCCAATCAAGTATGGCATCCGGATGTCATTGATTACCTTTGTTTCCACAAACTCAGGCTTAAAGAAAGCTCTGTAGGTCTGAGATTACCATGCGTAATGTGAAACAGTGTCCTGGCCTTGACCTTGGACTGCCCATCTAATATGCTCATCCTCAAGTCTACTGCTACATACATCAGTTTCAATCCTTGCCTTAACTACCTAAAGCACTATGAGTTGCATTTTTTCTCTCTCTACTAACAACACATATGAGTTAGGTTTGATCAGGGAAGTGGAATCACTGTGAGTGATGTGGAATAAGGTATTTTTGTAGGAATTAGAGTTTATGGAGGAGCTCTGGTGGCATAGTGCCTAAGGCACTTGACTGCTAACCAGAAGGCTGGCTGTTCAAACCCACCAGCCACTCCTCGGAAGGAAGGTTGGGCACTCCACTTCCATAGTGATACTGCCTCGGAAACCCAAGGAGGGGTGGCTATGAGTCGGGTCCACGTTAAAGGCACATAACAACAACAACAACAACAACAGAGTTTATTGTGTGAGCTAGTAAAGAAATGTATAGAAACCTATTGACTTTGCATCTTCTGGAAGGCCTGAATTCTCTGTCAGTCAGCAAAGTCAGCAGTTGGGAAGAAAAGATGGATGTAGACAGAGCAAAGAAGAATGAAGAAAATCAAAGATTCATGGAAACAGTAGTCAAAGAGACTGGTACACTATGTGATCCTCAGCCTATAGGACTATGAGACCAGAAGAACTAGATGGTGCCTGGCTACCACTGTCAACCACTTGAAGGGGATGTATAGAGGAGATCCTGGATAGAATGGGAGAACAATGTGGAACAAAACTCAAAATCATTTAAAAAAATAATTAAAAAAAGGGATTAGATTTGCTAATACAGCCTGGTGGAACCCCTGAGACTATGGCCTTAAAACCTTAGAAACCCTGTGGGTTCACTCTGAGTTGGAATCGACTTGATGGCAGTAGGTTTGATTTTTTTTTTTGGTATACTACTCAATGGCACAGGAGCTCTGGTAGCATAGTGGCTAAGACACTTGCCTGCTAACCTGACCGCTGGCGGTTCAAACTCACCAGCCACTCCTCGGAAGGAAGGTTGGCAATCCTACTTCCGTAGTGATACTGCCTCGGAAACCCAAGGAGGGGTCTCTATGAGTCGGGTTTGACTCGACAGCACATAACAACAACAACAACTCAATGACACATTACCTTTCTTCCTTCTTCTTAGATTCTGCAATAGCCAGAGACAACTTACAGAGAAAGATGAATAAGGTGGTCCAGTAATGAAGTTAGCCTTATCCCTCTTTCCACAATGTGGGTTTCTGAACAAGAAGCTAACTACCACTGCAGAAGAAAGCAAAGTTTATAAATTTCTTGAGAGTTCAAGTTTTGATAATCAATTGGATTGAATTTTTTAGTACCTACAAATGAGATTTTTCAAAAGGAATGATGTGAAAAAAAAAAAAAAGAAAAGAAAAATGCTTCCTGCATTGCCTGACCAAATTTAAATTTCTTCCAAAAAAGATTGTTTTAGCAGAAGACTATTTTCATTTAATCTTTACTACCTTATGTGGTGGTAGTTTGTGTGTCAACTTGGCTGGGCCTGGCTGAGTGGCTGGGCAGCTAGTAGTGGTAGTTATTCCCCATGATGAGACTGGCAGTCAGCTCCATGGTGGGATCTACCACAAGCAGCTGAGTAGCTGCCTTTGGGAATGTGGTCTGCTTCCTGTATTTAAGGAGAAGCCTTGGGAATGGTCTCTAGCCTATGGCATGCTTGGACCCTGCATGTAGCCGTGTCTTTGTTGAGCAGCCTGCCATGCTCTGCCGACCTTGGGACTTACAATGGACTTAAGTTAATGGCCTGCCGTGTAGTTTGGTAACATCAAGACTGTGCCTTTTTACTTGTCAACCTTGGGGCTTCTCAGCTTCAGCAGCCAGCAGCTGAGTGAAGAAATGCCTCTAGCTCCAGTGGGCCAGGAGCAGGAGGCAGAGCTGAACCCCAAGTTTGAGGGGCGTTTACCCAGTCCCTAGAGCCTGGCACTTTGAACTTGGAAGTAAACCCTCCAAATTGTAAGAATAAACTCCTGTTTGCTAAGACCATCCCATTTGTGGTATGTTTCCTGTCAGAGCAGCACTAGGTAACCAGACCATCTTATGAGGTAGATACCTATGTTATTACTATGCAAGATCAAAACCAAACCAAACTCACTGCCTTCAAATCATTTCTGACTCATAGTGACCGCTCCTTGGATTTCCAAGGTGGTATCTCTATGGAAGTAGATTACCCAATCTTCCTTCCGAGGAGTGGCTTGTGGGTTAGCAGTCATATGCCTTATGCACTGTGCCACCAGAGCTCCCTATTACCATGCAACAGATGAAAAATATAACTTGTCCAAGATTACATAACTAATAAATGGTAGATATGGAGTTAAACTTCCAAGCAAGTCTGACTCCATAACCTTTGCTTTTAACTTTTAGACTAATGACCTTCAACAGAATATTTATTTCATTTATTTAACAAATATTTAATGAGCACCCTTTCATTGCTAGATTCTGTGCTAGGTATATGGAAGTCAGTGATGAATATATGTGTGTATATGCATATATGTGAATGTGTATGTATGTGTATGTGTGTGGCAGTGGGCTGAGAGCAAAGATGGGGAAAATGTGGATGTAAAGGACTGGTTGGTTGTGTGGAGATGAGTGAGGGATTCCCCTAGTTTTGGGCTGGGCAATTGAGTGGATGATAATGTTGATGCCATTAATAGGGACAAGAAATAAAGAGGAAAACTAACTCATTTCCTGACAATCTGGACCTGTGAGTCAATCTGAAGCCAGAGTTCTAGCAGCCTCCAGGAAAATCTTTAACCAGAAACCTTTTAGTGTCAGCAGTGCTAACAGGACTTTTGTAATTCTAAACACTCCTTAG